CTTAAAGGATAGATATGCATCAAAATTCAGCATATTAACATATATGTTATATCTTATATGAAGTATATACCCGCAAGAATCGAACACAGGAATATCGGGTGCGTTTTGAAAAATCGCCCGTGAGACTGAAGTTCAGTTTCAGAACTTTTCAATGACATATGAAAGCAAATATGCTATCTCTAGTCAAGTACATGGAAACGTGCCACTCCTATCAGTTGATATAAGCAATTTAAAAGGATGCGGTTATTTAAAATTAAAAACACAGATTTTCCCTATTATAAGTGAGATGCGTTTAGTCGAGGGCAACGTAAGGGGTGCTTATTCAAAGGAGGCCCTTATTCGTGGTGGGACGTTTATTCGAGGGCAACGTAAGGGGTGCTTATTCAAAGGAGGTCATTATTCGAGGTGGGGGCGTTTATTCGAGGACAACGTAAGGGGTGCTTATTCAAAGGAGGTCACTATTCGAGGTGGGGCGTTTATTCAAGGGCAACATAAGGGGTGCTTATTCAAAGGAGGCCTTTATTCGTGGTGGGACGTTTATTCGAGGGCAACGTAAGGGGTGCTTATTCAAAGGAGGTCATTATTCGAGGTGGGGCGTTTATTCGAGGACAACGTAAGGGGTGCTTATTCAAAGAGGTCACTATTCGAGGTGGGGCGTTTATTCAAGGGCAACGTAAGGGGTGCTTATTCAAAGGAGGCCTTTATTCGTGGTTGGACGTTTATTCGAGGGCAACGTAAGGGGTGCTTATTCAAAGGAGATCATTATTCGAGGTGGGGCGTTTATTCGAGGGCAACGTAAGGGGTGCTTATTCAAAGGAGGCCCTTATTCGTGGTGGGACGTTTATTCGAGGGCAACGTAAGGGGTGCTTATTCAAAGGAGGTCATTATTCGAGGTGAGGCGTTTATTCGAGAGCAACGTAAGGGGTGCTTATTCAAAGGAGGCCCTTATTCGTGGTGGGACGTTTATTCGAGGGCAACGTAAGGGGTGCTTATTCAAAGGAGGTCATTATTCGAGGTGGGGCGTTTATTCGAGGGCAACGTAAGGGGTGCTTATTCAAAGGAGGCCCTTATTCGTGGTGGGGACGTTTATTCGAGGGCAACGTAAGGGTGCTTATTCAAAGGAGGTCATTATTCGAGGTGGGGCGTTTATTCGAGGGCAACGTAAGGGGTGCTTATTCAAAGGAGGTCCTTATTCGTGGTGGGACGTTTATTCGAGGGCAACGTAAGGGGTGCTTATTCAAAGGAGGTCATTATTCGAGGTGGGGGACGTTTATTCGAGGGCAACGTAAGGGGTGCTTATTCAAAGAAGCCCTTATTCCAGGGAACGTTTATTCGAGGGCAACGTAAGGGGTGCTTATTCGAAGGAGGCTCTTATTCGAGATAGGAGCGTTTATTCGAGGAAAAACGGTATTGGTTATTGGAATAATTTTTATATTCATCTTTGACAGAAAAAGCCCCCCCAAAAGTTTATTTAAATAATCAATTGCTGTTTTTCCCCAAGTTTGCATATCCGAAGAAGTATGGATATTATTAAAACTCCTCTCAAAATATATTTCTAAGAGTTAGCAGTTAGTGCAAATTCCAAAGGCTGATATGAGTACAATTCAAGTTTCAAGAAACATTACAAAATTCTACACAAACACACACACACACACACACACACATACACACAAACACACACATACACACAGGCACACGCCCACGCGCACACACACAAATATATATGTGTGTGGGTGTGTGTGTAGAGAGAGAAGAGAGATAGGTAGATCGATAGATAGACTGACAGATAGAAGAGGTGGAAGAAAACACCTGCAATATATAAAATATATAAATCTACACTTTTTTGGCTCCCCTGTTTATTTACATCTGCCATACCCTCACATAAACTGTTAATATTTATTTAACTTATATGGGAATTGGTTAGAACGTTCGCTTTCTGAACATGAGAGCCGGGTTCGAATCTCACCATGGTCGATTTATCACAATGGTGACGATGTTATCGATCTGGAGGAGACGAACCTAGCCAGCGGCATCTTTGGAAAGTGTCTGAAAATCATGCCACGGATTGATCCAAGCCTTGTGAGTGAAATTCAATAGGCGGATCCGTTCGAAGTCACAAGTCATCGCCTAACTGTGTGAGCCTTGTTCAGACTGCTGATCACGCTAGATAACGCGCTCTCTCCCAGAAACGGTAACTAAGGTCCGTTCAGCGTAATTGCAGCATAAACTCCAGGTGCGCTCTGTGGGTGTCGAACAAACACAAAATGTGCTTGAACAGTCGTCTGCAATAGGGATTAGCTAAACGTTCTAACAAACAGATTCACGTGTTCATTTCCTATTTATTGAACTAACCCAATTTTGGCACAAGGTCGCATTCACGAAGAATTGTCAGTTATGTGCCACACGTGATACACACTTAGGCGAACATATATCTTTCGATACATGACTGACTTGCCATCCAAGGCTATAGAACCTGGTCTGTCCTGCTATTTACCCATAGCCTTGGAGAAGAAGAGGATTCATACATTTCTCAAGGGTATTAGCACGTAAGTGAATGTAATGGATTCGACTGGAATTTGGACTCGGCTCTACGGAGATAAAATAACTCAACAACAATAATTTGCAAGACTCTCTAACCTGTAATGGCAATAATATAATTAGAGACTTTTACTCGGTCAATATTATACCTTACCTACAATCGATTAATTCATTAGTTTTACGATGTTTTTTTTTCAGACCATTATAAAATCAAGTGTTTCATCAATCGTTATCGGTTAACTGTTAATACTATGTTTTTTCGATATATTTTTCTTTACATTATTCGGACTATTGTCCTCATCTTTGTCGCCATATTTATTACAATGTTTCGGCCGTTGAACTGAACTCTTTATTTCGCTCACTTGGGTAGACTGTTCGAGCCCCACTGACATCCATTAAACATGGATGTCACTTATCAGTTATCTCCTGTTAATTCCTCTCTTCAATTTCACCACTGCCTTAACCGAGTATTGAGCTCACACTCTTTTTGGGTCCTGTCACTGGATCTAACGAAAGCCTTTATCCACTGTGACATGTGTCCTTGAGAACATCTGTGCATGAATTTCTGGATATTATAAACCTAATGTCTCAGCAACCATTTTTGCCAGTGCTCATATTGCAATTTTTTGCTATTATCGTTACATGTTTTTACCAGAGCTCATATTGCAATTTTTGTTGTTATTATTGCTTTTCTCTGGCACTCCTTATTACTGGTTTTTATATTATATTTATTTCTATGCTTGGTCGGCTCATGAGATTTTTTGTGGCCTAGCATATGTTCTGATTCCTTAAGTTTACGAATTTTCCAGTGGTGTTCTTTGTCTATGATCTCAACCTGATCCCACAGATACTGATATGTTTTCTTGATTTAATATTATCTTTCGTAGTTATTGTTGTTACTAATGCTAGCTTTATTATGATTATTTCATTTATCAAATCTTCACTTTTTATTTCCTATTATTATTCATCTTTGTTCTACCAATATTTTTAATGTCATTGTTATTTTCATCATTGTTTCAGTATTAATATTATCATGACTGTTTTCTTAACTGAGTTTCTCCCAGCACAAAAAGCTATAGAACTTTACTCCATCAGAGTTGTTACGCTCTGGGAATGTCCATTAGGTAATGTCTCTATTAAGCCGTGTTTTGAGAGGAGGTGACGCCAAGTACCTGGAGGCCAATTGAAGAGACTCCTTTAACCTACTGCCATGCCAATTCTCTGAGCGCACGCATGGTTACGTCAAGTGGCGAAGCAAATGTCTTTGGCTCGAATAAAAAAAAATAATAATGCCTTGCCCTAAAAAAGAAAATGATAAGTGCAAATGTGTAAAATAAATAAAGAAAAGTATAAGCTAATAAATAGATAAATAATAAAAAGTATAAACTAATAGAAAGATAAAAATGTACACATTTTTACCTGATATCGAAACTTACTCTAACATCAAGCCACAGCGTTAAGGTTTTTTTTTTTATTTTTCTTTCTTGTCAAAATGTTTTTTTTCGTTTCATTCTTATTTTTCTTGTCTTTCTTCACCGTGAATTTTTTCTTCCTCCAACCTGTTTTTGCTTCTTTTTTTTTATCCTTTCTACCTTCTTTTAGCGATCTTATTTAAAGTAGTTCTTCCACTGATTTGTTGTCGACGTTTTATCGTTTGAACCTTTATTGTTGCACACGCCCTCTTTGTTGTATTGCTTTTTGGTCTTTCTTTCTTTCAATGAAGCCATTATATTTGTTCGTTTCTTGCTTCATGTTCCCTGTTTTAGTTTTCGATTTTCTTCTTGTCTATCTTTATTTTATTTTACCATTTTCCATTCCCTTATTATTATTATTATTATTAATAAAGAACTGACCTCTCTATCGATCATGTCCTTTCAGTTTGTGGATGATCATAGTTCGCCACAGCTTCTCTTATTTTGTTCCGGTAAGTAATGTTTGTTTTGTGAGAAAATTGGTCTCCACTCAATTAGTTATGTCATTCACGTAGTCAAGTGGAATGCAAATGATTTTATCTGTGCCTGGAGCGACCCGGTGGTATTATGACAACCTACTGTGATTCCAGTAAAATCGAGATGTGAGAATTTCGAAGCAATCAAAACCTATCCAGGAAAAAGGAAAATGAATTGAAATAAATAAATAAATGAATAAAAAATTTCGGGATCAAGTGCCAGCCGACCGGAATCTATGGAATTCAGATCATGGGCTTATATAGTCACGCAGCATTCTAGAAAGAGGGCAATCATGCAGCAGTCAGAATAAGAATCACTGGATGGAGAAGATTAGGGTAAGAATATATTCAAAGTCAGAAAGAAAAGGGAATTCTCGTTGGCCGAAGTGAAGATCTGGTATTTGTTTTGAAAGAAGATGCCCGAAGTATCAGTTACCAGACAGTGTTAGGTGAACTGATCCATGAATAAAGAACCCGATTTATCGGAAACAATAGACATCTTATCCTTCTCGATATGTCGAGGCGGCCATATTTGATACTTTTCTCCCTGTGCGATATTTCGCCTTCAGTTTCTTTGTTGAACGTACACCAAGCCTTTCCAAGTTTTATTCACACCTGCGTAAACGGAGATCTAATTGCGGCGTGAGACAGAAGCTGACCAGTCGGTGAAAACCGCCCGAATTTTCATAATTTCATCCATTTACTCAAACTAAGTGGATTACTCGCTACATTCAAATATTTCTCTTGCCTTCGATGTGTGTTAAATTCGCCATGCTTTATTTCCTCATCAACTATCAGTTGTTTTTTTTTTCTTCACGGCAGTTCTTGAATATTCTTCTTGAAAGTATAACCATGGCATTACCAAGATTTATCAGTGGATCCAGATCTCTGTTAATTCAAGTTCTTGTTTTTCACCAATACGTATCTGTCTATCACTCATTTATGCGTTTATAATAAAATTTCTCACTCCGTAGTTTTTGAATCATATTTTTTATTATTCTAATGTAGTTATGGATTTCTGTCACACTTTCTCTGTTTTCTGTTATTACACTGTCCCAATAAATTTTCTCACTGAAACTTAAAGACTTCACTCCGTTTTTTGACAATTGAACACTTACAATATAATGAAAAATAAGTAAATGGTAAGGGCCAAGTATCTAATTCCTTATTTAATAAGTTTGGCTATTCCGCAAAAGATTCGCTGGAAATAGCATTTTAAAATATTTCTTCGTAAAATTCTTTACATTTTTTATGCATTTCAGGCATAAAAAATCCTTCAACTGGTACTTTTTTTGAGGAGATTTTCAGCACACATGGAAATCATTTTTAGGTGAAATCTAATTTTATCTGTCTATATTTCTGAGGTATGATGAGGTATTATGAACATTATTTACATTATTCGGACTATTGTCCTCATCTTTGTCGCCATATTTATTACAACGTTTCGGCCTTTCAGTATCTGTCTATATTTCTGAGATGAGGTATTATGTACACTATTTACATTATTCGGACTATTGTCCTCATCTTTGTCGCCCTATTTATTACAGCGTTTCGGCTGTTGTGCGCTCCGGCCTTCTTCAGGTGGTTTGAATGTCGAACTGAACCCTTTATTTCGCTCACTGGAGTAGACTGTTCTAGTTCCACGTGCCATGTTTAATGGATGTCAGTTATCAGTTATCTCTTGTTAATTTCCCATTGAAAGTTCTCCACTGCCTTAACCGGGTATTGAACTCACACTCTTTGGGTCCTGTCATTGGATCTAACCAACGCCTTTATCCCCTGTGCCATGTGTCCTTGTTAGTTAGATCCAGTGACAGGACCTCAAAATTGATTCAAAATTTACTTTATATTCGGTATTTGCATTATTAGGGTTTCATAATCATTATTAATTAGACTAATATTAATGGTGATCGTGAAAGCAGTCACTTCTGATAGGATAAACATTATAACGAAGCAAAAGCAAATACTGATTTTTTATTACATCATAACTGGTCAAATAGAAAATCCTTACAACCTGTAGTTATCAAAATATGTGAGTGAAAAGTCAGTTACTTTTCTGTGAGAAAGAAAGTCAATTTGTTTGTTAGTACTTACACACAGTCCAGAATTACATCTCAACTGGATGAGGAGGAAACTCCCACTATCTTATGTCGGAAACCTAAGTATAGATATAAACTTACGTCTTAATACTCTAGCGAGTAGGGACTGTTTCGGCTCAGACATAGAGCACGGACTGAACTGTTCTACTTTCATTCTAATATCTAAGTACAGTATCGTTGAATAAACATCCTCTTGGTTTTTATTAATAGTGGTAGTTTCATTGCATACACACAGAATAAGTTGGAAAAAGGCCTATATACATGTTTTAATTAAAAAAAAACCTTCTTTAGTGTTTTAACCGGAGTAATGTTACTACACATTTTTACCCGAAAATTAAAAAAAAAGCTGAACTTTAAATAAAAAAAATTAATCTCCAAATTTAAAACGCTGCATTTCAAATTGAAACTTTATTACTTACATGATTTACATTATTCGGACTTTTATTCTAAACTTCATTGCCATATTCACAACATTTCGGACTTTGTACACTCCAGGCTTCTTCAAGTGATTGGAATTCCGAACCGAACTCGAACGGTAGATTGTTCTAGTTCTACGTGCCATGCCTCTTCCGGATAATGTAAATAATGCAAGTAATCATAACACCTCATTCCGGAGATCTAATCACCTGAAGAAGGCCGGAGCGAAAAACGGCCGAAACGTTGTTAATATGGAAATAAAGATGAGGATAACACTCCGAATAATGTAAATAATGCAAGTAATCATAATACCTCATCTCAGAGATGCACTCACCTGAAGAAGGCCGAAGCGTACAACGGCCGAAACGTTGTGAATTTGACAATGGAGATGTGAATAACTGTCCAAATTCTTTGGGTCCTGTCACTGGATCTAACGAACGTCTTTATCCACTGTGCCATGTGTCTTTCAGTGTGAGTTCAATACCCGTTTAAGGCAGTGGAGAATTTTCAGAGGGGAATTAACAGGAGATAACTGATAACAGACATCCATTAAACATGGCACGTGGAACTAGAACAGTCTACCCCAGTGAGCGAAATAAAGGGTTCAGTTCGACATTCCAACCACCTGAAGAAGGCCGGAGCGTACAACGGCCGAAACGCTGTAACAAATATGGCGACAAAGATGAGGACAATAGTCCGAATAATGTAAATAATGGACGTTAATCCTGTCTGTTAATTCTGGCTTGTTGGTTTCTTTCTCATATACGTCTTGTTCGTTCGACGAAGATTACTTTTGATGACAACATCAATCCTAGAAGAATACTCTAATGCTTTTCTTTTTCTTCCTTGGTTTAGTGTTACATACATCATCATCATCATACAATGCATCAGTCAGGCATACATCACTAAGTTGTTGATCTCAAGGTTGTTTGATTTATTTAGGTGTAACTCATTCTTTCACCGCCTTTAATCTTAGAAGTTATATCCACCAAGTATTGTTGGAATAGACGTTCCCCTTTGCGTAGGTGATTAATCTCATTGTTCAGTGTTCGATATATATATATATATATATATATATATATATATATATATATATATAACATACAGGGTGTCCCCACCAAAAATTGACAACATTTCGCAGGCCAATAATCTTGGCAATTCTTGTTGAAATAACCTCAAATTTTCACAGAATGTATAGAAACAGATCAAGATTTTATATTTAATGTTTTATTTTTGTTGTGTTTTCAGGTTGAGCCATGCTGTTGACTCCCAAAAAGAAGTCATTTTGCGTCTTGGAATATGCCCACACAGTCTCCCAAGACTGTGCAGCGAGCCTTCAATGCAAAATTTGGAAAAACTTCACCAACTTGCAAACAAATTTTGACTTGGTACCAAAAATTTAAAGATGAAGGCTGCTTATGTAGGGCTAAAGGATCTGGCAGATCATTATCAACATCATCGTGTTTGGCAAGAGCTTAACTACGGACTTGACGTGTGCCGTGTCAAAGGCGGTGCATATATTGAACACTTATGAAATCGGCCCCATAATAAACTTATTGTTGTGGCCTGTTTAGAGGTCAGAAAGAAAGACACGGAAGACAAAGGTAGGTTGAAACAAGTGTTTTGAAAATACAGATATATATATATATATATATATATATATATATATATATATATATATATATATATATATATATATATATATATATACAAAGCAAAGTGTTAGTAATAAGCAGATAGAGGTGTCCGTCCGAACGGTCAAGCTACCCGATGACTCTCCCCTAGGAAGTTTCGCAGTTAGTATTTATAAGAGGAGAAAGAGTTCATTCCACTGTAGGAGAGTTTACCACAAGACTTATGAAGTTCAACACCTAAACTGTTCAATTTCATTGAGCTTAATGTAGTAGTTTTCAAGATAATTGCTTTTAAAATGATGTCAATTTTTTTTTGGGGGGGGGAGATCCTGTATTACCGTCAGTTTATCGTTGTCTGTTATTCGGAATTAATAATGCCAGCCATTATCTTCACGTGGAAAGAAAAGTATGCATTAAAAGCTGTTGAGCTATGGGACTAAGAAATGATTTGCTCACCATCTCGTTGCTCTTTCAACAAAATTCGTTGTTATCATACTTCAGGCTCGGCAATGCTTGATGTAATGATGACTAACTTGTAACAATTTTGTGTATTAAATGTTTTCTCACATTCAAATGCTGGTTTCTGATTAAGGTCAGTGACAAAATACACTTCTAAAATGTCCTGGATTTGTTCTTTTGCAAGTCGAAGGGGGTGCAATATACGGGTCATGTTGTTGAGATAAACTTCCAATTGTTCAATAATCTAACATTGAATCTAATAATTCTTGGAGGTTTTCATTTCCAATTCTTATCTGTTTTGAGGATCTATAAAGTTAATTTAAATAAAAAAAACAAACAAACTTGAATTTGCTGGTTGGGATCTGACATTAAATGCGCAATACAGTGAGCCCCCATCTATTAGCGATTCATCATTTTCGGCTTCACATATTCGCGGATTTTTCTTTAGAACATATCTATTTGTTATTCACGGGAACCCCCGAATATTCGAGTGCTTTTCGGAAGAACATATGTACAATGCTGAGAACTCCCTTGATTCGCGAATTTTTTGATAGAACCTATTTAAAATATTCTTGTATTATTTTCCTGTTATTTAAATGACTTAAAACATATAACAACCCATTTTTATGGTAAAAATTGGCAGAATTGTACATCTTCATTGTCAAAAAACAAACACAAAAACATGCGTAGTGCTTGGGGTTTATTCTTTGATAGGAACTGCAGCTGGGGTCTTAAAAATGGTTTATGCTAAGTCTGGGGGCATCATCAGAGTTCTGTTTTTAGAAAATGTTTTAAACTTTATATTTTATGTCGTGTTACACAAGTTTTATACAGTATTTTCAATGGTTGTATCGATCTAACCGTAATTAAAAATGGTTATTGTACGAATGAAAGAAAATTTACGTTAAGTGTATGGTCACCAATACTATTTTTCAAAAATGTTATTACAAGGATCTGAAATGTTTCTAAAGTGTTTAGGATGAAAGTTTAAGGCATATGGGTTTTTAACAATCAAAATAGGTACTTATAAGCACATTTTTTGTGGGGTGGGGTTACAAGTATTCGCGGATTCTAACTATTCGCGGTCGATTCTGGTCCCTCAACCCCGCGAATACGGGGGGGTGTCACTGTAACGGATTATTATAGAATGATTCCATCTATCCTCATTACAAGGATAGAAAGACTTCTTTGGTACCAAAGAATGTCATCTGGAAGAGGTTGTTGGGTTGTCTGATGTTCTTTCTGAAATTGTTTCAAATAGGGCCATCATCGTTGTATAAATTGAGGAGTAGAGTTTGCAAGTTTTCTTTGCCATTCTGTTTATGTAGCAGATATACCAAAGCACTACAGTGAGGGTAAATTTGATAAAGATTTCGCTGTGTTAGTTGTATATTTTGCCTGGCTCCTTCTCTGTTGAGTTCTTGCCGACGAAGGTTGGGAATTGATTTTACTAGCCACATTCGCAGTAATTACTCTTTGCAGAATATTCTCGAATCGACATATTCTTTTCTCCTCCGTCTCTTTTCTTCTCGCCCGATTCATGATGCCGTTATTCTGGAGACGTAAATGCCTCTGCCTTTTCTTCTCATGCTCTTTGTCTAACTCTTCCAATCTGATGTTAGGTGGTCCTGACGTCATCCGATTCTTGTTCTCTCCTTGCTGATTCCAGACGCCGTTTGGCGTCGTCTCTTCATTCTTACATCACTTTCCACGCGGCACAAATGGTGTAATGAAACGGTGTAGTTCTTTACGTCAATGGGAAAGAAACACGTTGAGAAATAAATCTCATCACCCAACAAAGGACAGCGATATTATTGACAGACTTAAAACCTGTTGATATTTCTGCTCTTTTCGCTTAGAATTGATATGAATATCTGTCTATATTTCTGAGATGAGGTATTATGGACACTATTTACATTATTCGGACTATTGTCCTCATCTTTGTCGCCATATTTATTACAATGTTTCGGCCGTTGTACGCTCCGGCCTTCTTCAGGTGGTTGGAATGCCGAACTGAACCCTTTATTTCGCTCACTGGGGTAGACTGTTCTAGTTCCACGTGCCATGTTTAATGGATGTCAGTTATCTCTGTTAATTCCCCTCTGAAAGTTCTCCACTTCCTTATCCGGGTATTGAAAACAAAATAATTTCCATGCCTGAGGATGAAAGTACTAGCAGATTTAAAAAAAAAAGACCTTATACAAATTGTAGTTATTAAAAACAAGGATCATAACATTCATCGAGTGATTTGTAGGTTAATGCAACTTTAAAATTTTGTTTGCGAAGAGTTTTCGCCATTTTATATCATTAACTTTACTAATCTACTTTTTGTATGAATGATTCCTTGTAATATAAATTGAACTGCGCCACATATTTGATATATATATATATGTATGTATGTATGTATTTGAACTTTATATCAATCCTTCATGAGCTCTCTGATCCTTGGCTATCATTAATTAATGATGAATATGTTATTTTCGTATATGATCGATTTCAACACAATTCTCCCGTCAAGCTTAGAGAGTAATTATACATTATCATTACTCAAAGTAGACTCCAATAGTGTTATAAAAGCCTCGGAGAATTCAAGTAAGATATCTTTAATTATTTCTAAAATACAACGTTTCAAATCTTAATCTAACAAGTTGAACAATTTTGTCTTTACACGATTTGGACAATTTTGCTGCTACACCCGATATATTGCTTACTGATGTATAAAAGTTTCATAAAGTGAAGGAAAGGATGAATAGCATTAAACACGGTGAGAAAATTGCTGGATTACTTTTTAATATTTACTGTTATTACGAAAGTAGATATCAAATGTCACAAATTGAGTAGATGTCACAAATGAATAATAATTGGAACAATCGAAATGAAGACGCTTTAATTAGCTACAACGAAACTGATGGTAACAATCAGAGAAAACCGAAATTTCTGGAACATAATGAGAAAAGAAAGGTAGGCGAATTTAACACGCATGCGTACATATACAGTGAGGGTGAGGAAGGGAAAGAGAGAGAGAGATAGATATCCGTTCCTTTCCTTTTTTAATTCCTCTTTCACCTTTTTTTTTATATATATATATATATATATATATATATATATATATATATGAAAATATATATATATATATATATATATATATATATATATATATATATATATATATATATATAAAAAGGCTTAAACACTAATATTCCATGGTCATAATTTATTCCATTGGAATTAAATAGATTTTGAATTTGTCAGGTCTGAAATTCAGATTTTGATCGTTTTAGGTTCCAATGGAATCAATTTATTTTGACCATGGAATATTAGTGTTTAAGCTTTTATTATATCCTTACTCTGTCCTAGACATTGAGTTCTACCTGGATTCTTCCTCTTGGAAAATTTTTTTCTGAAAATATACATGTATGGGTATTTTATATATATTTGCATATGTATGTATATTTTCCACTAATATTATCTATCTATCTATCTATCTATCTATCTATCTATCTATATATATATATATATATATATATATATATATATCATTAGGAAGAGGTTATAGTGGTTCCAACGAGAGAAAAGTGTGTATATTAAAAAGAAGAGAGATACCGCAAACGTTTTTGGTTGTAATGTGGATATTTAAAAAAAATATTATAGTTTATTTTCCATAATTTTACTTCATGTGTTTCTGGTCTCGCGGGAGTCATCAGGTAAAGGGTGGAGATTTCTACATATTATTAAAAACAATTAATTTTTTTCTCTTTTATGTTTTTCGATGTTAAATATTCTCGATATGAGACATTCACTTTTTTTGTGTTAGTAATCCGAATGTCTTTCTTGAACTGGCAGTGAAGAATTCTGCGCGAAGGGTCATAAAACAATTGACATTGGTCCGAGAGAAATGATGAATTATTTATCGGTATCTTATCTTTTAATACTTTAATGACCCCTATGTGTTCTTAGATCTATTTCCATTTTCGTGTTTCTGTCAGCATGCGTGTATATATGTGTATATTCCCTCTCCATACATACACAGTGTCTCACTACGAGGAATTAGTAAACATATTTGTACACATACACACACACCGTCCCACCACAAGGAATCAGTACATACACACATACATACACACATACGTACACGCATACTTCCAAAGTTACATGGAACCAGTATACACATAAGCACACACACATACACACATATATACGTATATACATACACACGTACTAACTAAGTTGTGTGTCGTGCCCGTGAGTAGTTCCTTGCTTTTGTCAACATGTGTATATATATACTTTTTCATGCTCCACAGATACCCACATGTGAGCGTGTGTGCATGTATGTGAGTGGTTTGATCACTGTATTTGGTCATCATGAGTGCATATTGTGTGCTTTTGCGTGTGGGGTGATGATCTATTTAGTTCTGGTTTAAATTTGTTTATGAAGTTTTTTTCTTGTATTTGTAGGTAAGAAAAAATGTCTGATATATTGTCATAATATTAAATTTACACTGGTCACATTTGAATATGTGTTGGGATACAAAAGTTTTCTGTTGTCTGATAATTATATATATATATATATATATATATATATATATATATATATATATATATATATATATATATTATGATAAACGAGTGTTCTGATGATTGCGTTTAGCAGAAAACAGCCTGTCGCCTCTAAGTGTTGACTTCAATGTTCACTTTTATATTTACACACTCTATCTCTGATATTGAGCACTTTATCCCATAAATATAGCACACCTTGAGAATATATTTATTCATATATCTTATTATATATATATATATATATATATATATATATATATATATATATATATATATATATATATATATATATATATATATATATATATATGAGAAACTATATATTACTAAATTTATAAAAGTAAAGTTTACTAAATCAGAGAAATAAATTAGCTATTTTTGACGTAACTGTCATAAATTTTACTTAAATAACATTTAAATATAAAAATTTTAAAAATTGTCACCAGGTAATATACATACTTATACTTGATATGGAAAAATAATTTTACTTACTGTAAGTAATTCTAATACATTTACTTAATTTAAAAAGAAATATAGTATATTAAAATTAACAGTGAAAATATTTTAAAGTTCTATTTAAAATTGTAGTTAAATAAAACGAATTCTAACCTAAACATCTTTTAAAATTGTAGTTAAATAAAACGTATTCTAACCTAAACACCTCCCTCAAAGTACTACAAGCACTTAAAAGAATCCAATAAAACACCTACAGTAAAATTAAATTAATATGAAAAGCTAGAAGATGTAAGCCATTGAATGACCCATGTCCTTTGTACTTACATGAGAAACTATATATTACTAGGTTTATAAAAAATAAAAGTTTACTAAATCAGAGAAAGGAATTAGCTATTTTTGCCGTCATTGTCATAAATTTTACTTAAATAATATTTAAATATAAATTTTAAAAAATTTGTCACCTGGTAATATACATACTCATACTTGATGTGAAAATAATTTTACATAATGTAAGTAATTCTAATACATTTACTTGTTTTAAAAAGAAATATAGTATATTAAAAATTAAAAGTGAAAATATTTTTAAAATAGAAGTTAAATAAAACGTATTCTAACCTAAACATCCCCCCCCAAATCTTTAAGTATACAAATAGAAAAATGCCGTAAGAATTTTTGCCGTTAACAATAATTTTTTTTAAAAAATCCAGATGACATGCATTTAACGGATGCATCCCTACCCCTACCAAAACGTAACTAATAACTGATACATCAAAATACAGCGATAATGAACACACAAACACCCCTTGTCTGGATAAATGGATTTCTCTGTATCCTTGGAAACGTGAATTATGAATTTTTGCCGTGCCTTTAAAACCCAGCAATTTTAACAATAAGTTACTCCAAAATTCGCTTGAGGATGAAATGGAACTAATGTCTTTAATTTAATTACAAAATTAAATTCGAAGCTTTTAGCTTCCATTTTTGAAACATGGTTAGAACTGTGTAGCGGAAAAACCATATTTTAAATCAATTAATTTATAATATTAATGCTCTGTAAATTTATATTGAGCACTATTTTGTAAAAATAAAAATATCTATAAGAACACCGGATTATATATCTTACTGATCTTTCTTTATATATCTCTCTCTCCCTCTCTCTCTCTCTCTCTCTCTCTCTCTCTATATATATATATATATATATATATATATATATATATATAGCAGTATCTTATAAAACAAAAAATAATATTGCGCAGACAGTCTTGTCTAGGTCTTGTCTATTTCTATTTTATGATGTAATTTTAAATTTTCTATAACTTTACGTTAGAATAATGGGCAGGTGGCCGAGTGGTTAGAACATGGCCCCGGTTCGAATCTCATCATGGTCGATTTGTCAAAAGAGACTTTCTGATGTTGTCTGACTGGAGGGGCCAATCCCAGCGTGCGGCACCTTTAGAAAGTGCCTGAAAGCCATATCACGGGTTGACCTAAGCCTTGAGAGTGAAATTGGGAAGACGGAACCCCTTGAGCGTGCTGGCCTTGTTCAAATTGTTGATCACGCTAGTAACTAAGGTCTGCTCAGCATAGTTGCAGAATAAACCACAGGTGGGCTCTGTGGGTGTTGAATAAACGCAGATGCGCAAATTCCACCCTAGTAGACGGGTATCCTCGAATATGAGTGACCAGCTATACGTAAAAATAATTTTAATGTGAAATAGTAATTGGCGAAGTTAGAAATTATTTTAATTTAGACAACTACGCTGAACGTGCTGCGTTTTCCAGTTTTTCAGAGAAAATGACAGAACGCCTTGTAGTCATATCGTTTAGTACATGCCATACTTCATTTGCGACTACTTTGGACTGGAAACAGGCGTATTTTTCAGAGCTTGTGCAATATAGTGAATCAAAAGAATTTTTGCTAGACTATTTCTAACTCTTCTACACCCTCACTCTTGTTATTCTGTTTTTAGTTCTTCGAATCGATTCCTTTTATGAGCAGCTGGTAATAATGAAGCAATTGATTCTTGTGCTCCATTTTCTTTCACAGTATCGCTGACAAATCTTTATTTTGCATTTTTCACCTGAGAGTGATTTAATGGCTGACTTATTCGTTTTAAACCTTTTTACTGCGCATGCTCAAAAGAGGTTGTCATTTTTATACCACGACATATTGTGCCACTTACATATGCATAAATATATGTAGATAAACATTTGTGTGAAATCGACGGGGATGTTGTCAAGTAGAGCTAATTCTTGAATAATTATCAGACATTAAACATTATAGGGACAGATTTAAACGGGTGTGTAGGGAAAACAAAATGGAAGAATGGAAAGAAACTAAAAGAAATAGAAAAATTGATACTGGAAATTGTCTATGGAAAAGTTGAACAAGAAAAATAAAAGAAAATAGATGAAGCAAACATAACGAAAATGGACCAAAAATATACGAAAAATATGAAGCCATATTTGGAGGAGAAAGATATTATAAAAACATAGTAAAGCACAAAAATATTTTCATTTTGCAAAGAAAATAAATAAAAAAGAAGAAAAGGTAATGAATGAAAAATGGAAAATTGCAAAGGTAATCATTTTTTCAGTTTCTTGGTAAAACTTAGTATAAAACGTGAAGATAAGGATTTTAAATTACAATACCGTAATATTTGGACTGATTGTAAGTGTCGTTACCTTATTTGCATATGTTGCTTGAAATACCCTATTTTGCTATAGTTTTCATCCGATTCTTAATAACTGGTTGTACAAATGAGCTACTGCTGAAAATACTTCCGAGAAATAGATGCTGAAAATATGATAAAAAATTATAATTTTAACATGAACAACTTATATATATCGAGTAGTGGACATGTTTAGGAAACATTCCAGTTTTTTTCATTTAACTTTAAAATAAGTTTTATTTATTACATAGAGGTAAATAGAAATTATAAAGCCTCATTATTCATTATTTTGAAAAATCGATGAATTTCATTAAAAGAAATTGCAAAATGCGTTTGAAAACAATTTGTCGTAAAGTAAAATTAATCTATTAAATAAAATAATAATAATAATAATAGTAATAATAATAATAATAATAATAATAATAATAATGTGGCACATGAGAACATCAACAATCCCCGTTGTAGTTGGAGCCCTAGGATTGGTCAGAAAAGATTCCAGTAGACTACTTGGAGGGATTCCCGGAAGTCCATGCCTCAAAGAAATACAAAAAATTGTTCTCACATGTACAGCCCACATTTCACGAAGGGCTTTATCTATGTAAAATTATTTATTTATTTTTTTCTTTTGTCAGTGGAAAGTGTCATGATGCCATTTCTAACCTTAGGTCTCTGGGCGGGACTTGGAAAGAAATGTGTACACGCCAGAAATCAAAGGAAATAATAATAATAATAATAATAATAATAATAATAACGATGATGATAATAATAACAATAATAATAATGCATATACATGTATATAATAATACATGTGCCAATAGGAAAAGCTTTTTCATAAGTTTCCCATGAAAGACCTTGAAGGGATAGTAAAAAGAATTTTTTTATGAAATTGAAAATAACAGGAAAATATAACCAGAACAGAATTAACAATACTCACAAAAGTAACCATATGGAAAGAATTTGGAGCCAAGAAAATTTTTACTATTATTCTTATAATCAACAACAACGATGTCAGTTATGACGGCGATAAATACGAAAACCTCATCAGCAAAGCGTTGAATTTTGATTGCATCATTTCTATTGTTTTCATGATTCGAAGAAAATCCAATAACAATAAAAGCCTTATCAATAAACTCTGGTGATAAAACAAATAAATGAAAAGAATAAAATATTATTAAAAAAAAAAGACCCAGTTGGTTTGAGCATAGTTTGTTGCTAAGCAACTTCATCTTTTGGCCAGTAAGATTAGGCTGACAGCAGGGATTTTAAAATGCCAACGTCCATTTTCACTTGGAAATAAAGAAGTTTGCATTTTTTTGTTTAAATTCTGAAATCACCTACACGAAAATTTCCCCAAAACACAATTATGGCATGAAAATTCCAGTATCGAGGATTCAATGTCTGAAACTTACGATGGTATCTTGTTTTATTTCTAGCTTTTTTGCTTCCTTGCAAATCGGTTTAATTTTTGTACGCCATTTTTTTTCTTTTTACCATTTCTTGTTTTCCAGTATCCTTTCTTTTCAGTTTGAGTCTGAATCTTTATCTCGTATGTTTTCTTTTCTTATTATTTCCTCATTTTCATTTTCTTTTCTTATTATTTCTCTTTTCATTTTTTTCTTTTTATTTCCTCTCGTTTCATTTTTTTCTTATTTTTTCCTCTCTTTTCATTTTCTTATTTCCTCGATGTTGATTTATTTTTCTAGTTTTAGCATTTTAATAATTTAATGGTTTCATAATTATTATATGTTAATCATTGTTTTGTTATCTATTCTGTTTTTCATTTTTTACTTTTATATTAATTTATTATTTATTGAACTCATTATTGATTTCTTTTAATATGTTTCCTTCCTTTTCATTTACTTTCACATATACGCTCATTTCCTTTCTTCTTTCTCTCGTTCTATTTTATCATTTTCATTACATTCAAAACGTTCCCCATCTTTTATTCTTCTCATCTAATTCTTAAATTTTTTCTATTCCGCCATTCCGTTTCTTTTAATTTTCTTTGTTATTTTATTTGTTCTTTCCCCTTTAAATGGTCATCTTTCTCCTCTTATTGATTTTTATCACTTCTTTATTTCGTTTCTTCAAATTCCTTTTTTTACTTGAATCTTTTTCTTTTACCCTCTGCATCTTTTAGCTTTTTCATAATTTGTTTTAATTTGCAGAAATCATGTTTTCTTTTTCTTTTTGCATTATTGCCTCTATATCATTTTCAGTTTTCAAAACTTCATCTTTTTCTGATATTTCCAATTATAGATACGTTTTGTATAGGTGTACATATGAGTGTGTGTATCAGTACTTACCATAATTCCCCATTATCTACCTATAAATAGTGTATATAATTCCCCATGTATAATACACCTTCATCAATAATACGCACTCCTAAAATTTGCTGAAAGTGTTAGAAACTGCTTCTACTCATGCATAATACGCACCCTATGTTTGGAAATCCAACCCAATAAGTTGTACATCTCCAATTTCATTACGGCCAGCGTTTCCTACTCTTATTTAATTTTTTTTTGTAAACATAGAATTATATTACTCTAATTTAGTTTTATGATAATTCTTATTTTATTTTATAGCAATTTTTAAAATATTTTGTAGCTGTGCATAATACGCACCCCTGATTTTGCTTATTATTTTTTTTCGAAAAAATGCCTATTATACATAGAGAATTACGGTAAAAGTCGTTCTATAGTTTTATTATGCACAACGTAAGTTAATTCTCCCAATTGAGTCATAGAAGCATTTATCTTCTTTTTTTTTTTAAATCATTCATTTCTATTAACACTTCACTATTTTGTGTGTGTGTGAAGGGGGTCTATTTTTTTCCAGTTCCTTCAATTTTATCCTTTTCGATTTGGATTCTGTCAACTTGCAACTACTTTGTTCTGGTCATTTATTTATTTCATTTCGTTTTATCTTGTCTTTCCTCTTTTCTTTTAAGTATCGCTCTTTATCTTTCACTTTTCCTCTGTTGACTTAGCCTCTTCTTTTCTCCATTTGTTTCTCTACCCTTCTACTCTCTCAACCCATTTTTCTCCAGATTCTTTTTTTCTTAATTTTTTCTCTTTTCAAATTCCTCTGCACACCTCTCTCTCTCTCTCTCTCTCTATTTCTTTCTATCTCTCTATCTCTCTCTCTATTTCTTTCTATCTCTCTCTCTATTTCTTTCTATCTCTCTCTCTCTTTCTTTCTCTCTCTCTCTATTTCTTTCTCTCTCTCTCTCTCTATTTCTTTCTATCTCTCTCTCTCTTTCTTTCTATCTCTCTCTCTCTATTTCTTTCTCTCTCTCTCTCTCTCTCTATCTCATTCTATCTCTCTCTCTTTCTCTCTCTCTATTTCTTTCTATCTCTCTCTCTCTCTCTTATACGTTACATCACCTTCCTTTTTTTTCCTCATTTTCTCTCTAACGCTTCAACGTTTCATTTTATTTCAGTAACATTTTCTCGCTTTCATTTTCTATTTTCCATAATTTGATTTGCTTTTTTCATTCATTTTAACATTCGTTTTTTGTCCCCTCCTCATTTCCCATTTATTTACATCTTGACTTTGGCTTCTTCCTTTACTTACCGGGTTTATTTTTTTAAATCTCTCTTTTTTTTTTTCCTCTCTCTCCTCTTTTTTCTCATATTTCTTCGTTGGAAACCATTTTGTTGATTTTTTTTTTCACACCCCTTCGTTTTCTTCTATCTGTACATTTCTCTCCACCTTTTCCCTCAGCCATTGATTCTTTTTATTCTTTATTTTTGTTTTTCATTTTCTATCACAAACATATTATTTGCTACTTTTCATTTCTCTCTTTTTTTTTTTTGTTATTCTGGGATTTCTCTACCTTAAGTTCGACTGCAATTTATATTCCTCTATGTAATTTTATCTTTATATAATATTTTTTATCTTTTTTTCTTACTTTTCTTTACAATCATTTTTTTTTATTCTTCTTTTTAAAATTTTTGTTCCGTCATCTAATTTTCTTTTCTTTCACACCTGAGTGATGCTTTGTATGTTAGACTTGCATGCTATTTCTAATGAGTTTGAGGTTCAATGAGCGACCCACCATTGTAGCCCTGATAAACTTGGTAAATATTGTTTCTCTGTCTCTAGTTTTGATAACTCTGCCTTTTCCCGAATCTTAAATTTAATTTTTTTTTCATTTTGCCGAAGTCCTCCGCTCCTTTTCAATTTCACGTATCAAAATATTGCACTACGCAACATTGCCGAAACGTTCTTTTCTGTTCTCTATTATCATTCAAATATCATCCACTTCCACTTTTTTCCTTTATTTGAACCAAACATTCCGCAGCAGCTATTTCCTTAATAAATACTTTTTTCTACTGGGAATAAAAACTGCAATAAAAGACTCTTCATTTCTTACAATTCTTGTTTGACGAACCACTCTAAACGGATGCACGGTCGCTCAGCGATCATTTATAGGTTATGAAAATTTGTATTTAACTCGTAGGACGCTTGGGAAAATATTGCTTTTGTGATGACGGCATGACAACGCGTTTTATCTGTTAAATATTTGGCAGATTGATGAGAAGCGACGATTGAATTAAATACCTTGGCGTCTGAAATAAGTCCAATATTTTAATTTTCCTACTCCTTGATTCTTTGCTAGTGATGCGAACACTCTAAGCTGGAATCAGACAACAATGTAATTTTTATAATATTATGCGTTAAAATTAAATTGAAAATAATAGCGAACTTTTCGATGTTATAAGTAGAAATTAGTAATGCGAGTAGAAATGAAATTAAGGTCATGGAAGTAAAAACCTTTCTGCTTTGTAATTTTGGCTATTTTTATATGAGAGAGCTCTAGCACTTAAGAAATTTACTAATTTAAAAATGAGGCAATTTCTGGTCAGTATTCAAAGCTTGACAATCAGGAGCTCTAATTAAAATTCTCTGATTATTACTGAGTCTAACTTAGTACGGTACGTGATTGAATTGGTGGAGTTACAACAAGAAAGAGTTACGCCAATCTCTTGGAGGAGAATCTGTTTGCTTTAAAAATCAGTTCTAAAAATTTGGACTAGATCATCACCGTTACGACATACTTAAATACCTCAGTATCTGTCTATATTTCTGAGATGATGTATTATGTACACTATTTACATTATTCGGACTAATGTCCTCATCTTTGTCGCTATATTTATTACAACGTTTACAAAGAAGAGGACAATAGTCCTTATAATGTAACTGGTGTACATAATACCTCATCTCAGAAATATAGACAGATACTGAACGGCCGAAACGTGATAAATATGGCGACAAAGATGAGGACAATAGTCCGTACAATGTAAATGGTGTACATAAATACCTCAACCACTTAAGGACGTTCAAACGTTTTTGTTTCGGGTAACGAAGGTGATGGCCTGTCTCCTCACCTCTTTCCTCGGTGAGTAAAGGCAAATACTGCTAACTATAAGGAGAGAGAGCGGAATGCGAGTCTTTCGATAGAGAGTGTGAGAAAAGTAAGACCGTATATCAACCATTAAGAAAACGTGCCGTCTAAAACCGCGACTACTCAAGAACGGATGAATTACAATTTCTGAATTTAATCATAACTATCACAATGTCCAAAATAGACAAAGACCATCTGATTCGGGTATGTCAAAATTTCAGACCGCGTACTGAAGCAGCCATAGATGTTAATAACGGATTAATTAAGTAGATACCTCAAGAAGAGTTTCAAGAATATCTATACACATTCTTTCTTAAATAAAGTCATTTCATGATTAATGCATCTTTTACTAAATCCATGCCGCTGTCTTCAAAGAACAGAGCAACCCTGTATATCTGCTTAATATCGTTTAGCAATCGATATAAATAAAAGAATCTGGTTTTCTTTTTGACGAAAATAACTTTATTCGTTGCCTCATAAAATATCTTGTTTTGGAATTTGTTAGCTGATCTCCAGTAAACTGGTTCCTGTAAGAAAAATTGTTCACTGCGCGAAGACGAAAAATATTGCTTATAGTGATTTTCCAAGCGTAGATTAGATGTGGCACAAGGACGAAATTATGGGGCACCCAGTAAGGATGGAACGCACTACTCAGTCGTAATCTTTCTATCAAGACAAACTTGCTAACCATTACACCGTCTCGAGGCGCCCAAATGATTTCCTAAGCGTAGCTTAGATGTGGCACAAGGCCGAACGTATGGGGCACCCGGTGAGGATCGAACTCACTATTCAGTCATAACTTTTTTTTTACCGAGACAAACTTGCTAACCATTACACCACGCTGAGGTTCCCAAATGATTTTCTAAGCGTAACTTAGATGTGACACAAGGCCGAAAGTATGAGGCACCCAGTGAGAATCGAACTCACTACTTAGACGTAATTGGCCTAGCAAGGCAAGCTTGCTAACCATTAAACCTCACCGAGGTGCCTAAAAAAAACTTTGCTTATATATATTTGGTAATATGTGGCCTTGTTACTGAACGATTGGTAAACGATATATTAACGTTGTCTATGACTTTTTTATTCTTAGACTCTTTTCAAACTATTGAGAGAACTGAGAAAACAACAGACATATTCACATGTATAACTATAGCGATTTACTAAGTGTTGCTTAGATGTGGCACACAGGTGAGAGTGTGAAGCAGTTAGTGAGGATCGAACTCACTACTTAGTCGTGATTGATCAAATTTGTTAACCATGACATCACGTCAAAGTGTCCCATTACTGTAAGTATAGAAATTTATTAAACGTAGCTTAGATGTGGCACAAGGTGGCGAGTATGGGGATCGAACTCACTATTCAGTCGTCATTAAATTAAGGAGGCTTCTTTTTTTTGTTAACCATTACACCATGTCTCCTGACCATAACTATAGCTTCATCTGCATTGGTTGTTCTGTTATTTCGTGGCAGTCATTCCGGTCACATGACATTTGCATAGATAAAGGCTGAATATCTGCTTTTACTTGAATCTAAACTAAAGACATCAAGAAAATTTTAGCAGTTGAATAGTTTCGTATTTTTTCTTGAGGATAGGCGTGTTAATTTTTATTTCACCCAAGTTGAATTGTCAATTGGTCTTTAACATTATAAAAATGAAAATTGAATCACCAGTGCGTAAACAATGCTGTTTTCTGTTGTACTGTTTTTCCATTGTGATGTTACAACGATTGCTTTGGTTTTGGTCATCTGTTGATTGCCATTTGATATCCATGGTATTGGCTTCTTGCTCTAAGTTTTGATTGACATGGGTATGAAGCTGAAGTTATTTGCTAAAAATATTATTGCCCACTTTTAAATCCGACTGGTAGGTTTTACTTGGAGCACGTTTCTTTGAGTCGAAAGTAATTAAGAGAACTTATGTTTAGCTACAAACTTAAAATGTCGTCTGCACAAATTCCTGTAGAATTCCCTGACTGCAAAAATAATTTAAACAAGCTTTTTTTTTTCTTCATCTGAAAATTTGAGAGATCACTATTTTGATAATACAGTTCGAAACCTTTTACTATTTTGTCAGTTTTTTTCTGGTAAGAAGTTATCATTGTTTACATTATTCACATTCGGGTGGTAATGGTTAGCAATATTGCCATTTAACCACCGAGGAAAGAGGTGAGGAGACATGCCATCACGGAAACGTTTGAACGTCCTTAGGGTCACCGTATAACCATATATCATCTTTGTTCTTACTATTTTGGCCGTTGTGCTCTTCGATCTTCTTTAGGTGCTTGTCGATTCAGATAATCTTCGGGGAATTTTGAAATGAGCCCTTTAATTAAGATAGGTAGATTGTTCTCTTTCTACTAGTGTAAGGAGATCAATCTATTTTCACATATTAAATAAAGGGTTTATTTCTGCCAAGAATTCTCAGATTATATTGGTGGGATAAGGTACATGATATCATGTTTCATAAGTGATTACAATTAACGATAATGGAAATCATGTTTATCGATCGGCAATGTGCTTTCTTTGGTGGGCTGGAGTCATGAAAAAGGGCTGTTGGCTGTCTGTACAATTGATGCAAGCGATACAGCGATACGACATCAAGGTCATCCTGACGACCTGCAATAGCTGTCAATTAGAAAAAGCAGCTGGTGACCGGGCCCGTTCGCGTCGTGTTTGCATGGACACTGTTTAAAACACAGAAGCAAAGTTCGTCCGGCAGGCAATGGAACACCTTCAAAGTCATTACACGCAGGATGTTTCCTTTACTGTGTTGTGGAGTGAATAAAACACACCCAGTAACACAAATGATCTAGGCAAGACGCCTTAAATAAAGAACTCCAAGTGAGTCAGTCGGAGTCAGGCATTCTACTGTCCAGCTCGCGATTGTTAAGTTTTCTATATTCGGGTAGAGTATAACTCGGGGTAAATTTTGGCCATTTTCCCACACTAAACTTGACCTTGTGTCACATGTCGTCTCAGCGGGGAGACTGGGTAAATACCAGTTAGTTGGAGTCAGGCAGTCCCCTGTCTGGCTCAGGATTGTCAAATTCCATGTTTGAGGGCAGAGTATGAC